TTAACATATAAGGTATATATATTTTTCTTTTAAGCTCCTTTCAGTTGGCTTTTTAAGCTCTTAAAAGCAGTGTAAATTTTAGATCTTAATGCATCTTTGAAAAAGTCCTAAGGGCTTGCTATTGTTTGTGTTTATTTGGATGACATAAGTCAGTTTCAGAAGTAGCTTTCTTCCATGGCTTCTCAGTTTGGTTGTCTGGACAGCACTTACCATCCCATAATCCAGCGGTCCACAGCCCGCTAGGGACAGGGCCGCACAGCAGGAGGTGAGCAGTGGGCAAGCCAGCGAAGCTACTTCTGCCGCTCCCCATGGCTCGCATTACCGCCGGAACAGTCCCATTTTTCCCACCCCCTCCCCGACCCCAGTCCATGGAAAAATTGTCTTCCACGAAACTGGTCACTGGTGCCAAAAAGGCTGGGGACCGCTGCTGTAATCTCCATTCACACACACAGAAAGCTAAAGTGACCACACTGTGAAAAGTACACATATTTACCATTGAATTTGTACGTACCAAAATCAAGTTTTCGGTATTGAAGTAGCACGTGCTACCCTTGGGTTAAGTAGGCTCCTCTAAATAACAATTATTGCAATGAAAAAAATATGCATTTTGAATGTTGATAAGGGTAGATGGAAATGTGGTCAGTTATATCAGTATATGTTAAACGCATTTCAGATCAGTGATGCTTTTTACTAATTACAATTATTTTGCATATAAAGTAGACTTAATGAGGAATTACAAAGGCTTGAGCATTGTGAAGTTATTATTATTTTTATGTTAAAGATGAATCTGTTATAAAAGTTAAGAAGGAAAACCATCCCGCCTCCTTCTACCCTAATAAATCATACTTTTTTTCCTTTTCCCTTGCCACTTCTTCTTGGTATACTTATGAATTTTTATTTGTCATCGGGGGAAGGGTAAGCTGTGACAAAGCGAGAGAGAGGCATGGACATATATACAAGCCATTCTGAGTTTAGCATTTTCCATCCAACATTCATTACGTAGAAAGCATTTTTTTCCATTTCCAATTGAACATAAGGGCATTGACGGCGGCTTGAACCCATCCCCTGTTGTCAAAAATGTAGCTGTCTCCCAATTTATTTATTTATTTTTTGTTCCTATTTCGATAATGCTGCAATGAACGTCTTTGCTCAAATTTAACTGTAACTTTTTATGGGGAAGGTTTTGTTTTTAGAATAAATGGAATGGAATTTCGGTGCCAAATTCCAAGCAATTTCAGATGGTTAAGGGAAGCTGAGAGGAGGGTAGTTAAGAGAAGTCATTTGGAGGAAGATGCAGTAGGTGACTCGGTGTCCTGGCAGGACAAAGGGATGAGTGTACCAGGAAGAAAGGGGAGGGCTGCTGGAGAGCTCCAGGGCTGAGGCAGGGCGAGCTGAGAGCACCTGGAACATTCTGCTGGGAACCTCTTTCCCTTTGTCAACCAACATGATTTGTGGCTTTGGGTTTGAATCAGACTCACTGGGACTCCGTGCTCCTCTCACTGGGGAGTGGACTGTCATTGGGGTTGTTACTTACTGCCTGAAGTCAGGGTGGGGAGGCCGTGTCTCCAGCCTGGAAAAAGCAGCAGGGGGAAAAGAGAACCAGGCAGAACGGATGCGGCTAAATGGTGAGCCAGCACGCCTCCCCCATCAATCTACAATCAGATTGTGTTTGCCAAGACTCTGTTTCTTTTCACCCAGACACTGGGGCAAGGCAGTCCTTCCATCAAACCTGGAGGCTGGGAAGCTGAAGGAGAAAAACCAGCCTTCGATGAACAAAATCACGAAGAAGGCTCGTCGAACCCAGCATCGCTCATCACTAATGGCTTCATACCCGAGCTGCCCTTTTACTCCCTTTTTTTTTTTTTCTTCCAGCTAATGGGTTTTTACTAGTTTTGTCAAACTGCAAGTAAATAGCCTAGTGAACTCTCTCTTTGCTGGAAATAGTCTTTTTGAAAGAAATGGTTTATTTTAGGAAAGAGGGAAAAAAAGCCCAACCACAAAACAGGCTGCATTATGAGATTTCCAATTTTGCCATGATTTTGTTCCCTGGGTAGATTGATGCTGCAAGGACTGTGATAAGAAGTTCTTCTATGGTAACAAATGCAAAATTGAAAACCTACTTCAGCCCCATTTGAGCGCACGCTGTTATCACTTTGTCTTTTCACCAACTACCTTCTGTGTGTGCTCTTCACCAGCCAGGCTCTGTGGCCACGTTCACCGTCCTGGAGATTTTGACATCTTCTTTTCATTTTATTGTTTTTTTGACTATAGCAGTATTCCTAATATTCCCACTACCCCTTACCTCCAAAAACCCCACAATCCTGTAGGAAAGGTGTACACATTTTAGGAATCAACATATTTATCTGCAAAAGGAGAAGTGCTAGTTTGCATGGCATCATTCTCAAAAATATGCAGAAGCTAAACAATGATGTTGAAATCGCCTGACACGGGTTCATATAGGGTTCCATTTCTCTGTCCTACCAATCTTCCAGGCAAACAAGACTCCAGAGAACCTTGATTAAAACTTAAGGTAGTGCTTCCCTGGTGGCGCAGTGGTTGAGAGTCTGCCTGCGGATGCAAGGGACGCGGGTTCGTGCCCCGGTCCGGGAGGATCCCACATGCCGCGGAGCGGCTGGGCCCATGGGCCATGGCCGCTGAGCCTGCGCGTCCAGAGCCTGTGCTCTGCAACGGGAGAGGCTACAACAGTGAGAGGCCTGCATACATCAAAACAAACAAACAAACAAACAAAACTTAAGATACAACCTGGAAAGGACTATAAATATATTTTAAAATCGCACTTCAGTACTTTTTTACGTCTCTAGTATTTTTCATGTTCCGATAGCACTTTAAAACCCATTTAAAGACCTTAGAAGGGTCCAGGGACTGTTTGGAAGCACAGTCTTCGGGCTCCAGGAAAAATGAAGGAATTAAAAAAGTGATAAATGAGGAGAACCAGACAGAAAGGATTTACGCTACGTCCTGTAAACAAGATGCAATTTGTTGTGTATTCTCTGAAAATCACTTTGCCTTTGTGGCTAATCCATGAAGGCAAACCATTATTCAGGAGATTGGCTAGAACCCAATTGTAAAGAATGACAAGTGGAACCAAGGACTGGAAAAGAAGGAAAAAAATCTCTGAGTAAAGGAAGGGGATGGGGGACTTGGAACCCGGTAGCAAAGGATTCAAGGAGAATTCATATTATGGAGATCACATAGAACTCGAAGTTAGGACTGATGCAGTCTGCAGTGAGCGATGTTTAGCGTTATGTGGATTACAGTGTTTCCTATACAATGTCCCATTTGATTCTCATGGAAACCCTAATAAATATCATTGTGTTCATTTTGTACATGGAGAAAGTGACACTCGTTTTGGCTACGAATTAGAGTAAGTGACTTGTTCGATATCACGACTTGTTCGATATCACGACTTGTTCGATATCACGACTTGTTTAATATCATGCAGCTAGAAAGTGGTAGGGCTGGAACTGGGGTTCTGAACTTCTGACTCTTTTATTGGTGTTTTCAGCCCATCATCCTGCCTCAGGTAGCAACTTAGAAGTTAGAACTGCAGTGTTGTTTAGAGGTGAGGGGAGTTTGGATGGGCTCTCACTTCAGCAAGGGAGGAAAGATGGAAATAAGAAGGGCAGGAATAGAGACGCAGACGTACAGAACGGACGTGTGGACATGGGGGTGATGTGGACATGGGGGTGGGATGAACTGGGAGATTGGGATTGACATATATATACTACCATGTGTAAAACAGCTAGTAGGAACCTGCTGTATAGCACAGGGAGCTCAGCTCGGTGCTCTGTGGTGACCTAGATGGGTGGGATGGGGGATGGGAAGGAGGTCCAAGAGGGAGGGGATATAGGGATACATATAGCTGAGTTGCTTCACTGTACAGCAGAAACTAACACAACATTGTAAAGCAACTATACCCCAATAAAAATAAATAAATAAGAAAAAAAAATAACCCAGAAAAGGCAAAAAATAAATAAGTAAATAAGGAAGGGGTCGGTTTCTCCACACTGGACACAGAGCAGTCAGGACAGATGGAATTCATAGTCCTGCTAGCCTGCAGGAGGTGGGGCTTGATTCGTTCAGTTGCATCTGCCTGCTTGCGGGTAGCTTGGCTCTGATCAGGCTTTGGTTGGAGGTGCCGTGTGCGTGTCGCCATCCCAGGGCGGCGTTGTCCCTGGCTCCTTAGGGCAGGGCAGCTGCAGTGAGAGAGGGGCTGGGGACCTAGCTCTTCAACACAGTTGATCCTTGTATTATTCCCTCTGCTGACCTGGTCTTACCTTTGAAGACAATTAAACATTCACTCCAGGCTAAAAGATCCCAATGGTGGGCTTCCCTGGTGGCGCAGTGGTTGAGAGTCCGCCTAACGATGCAGGGGACGCGGGTTCGTGTCCCGGTCCGGGAGGATCCCACGTGCCGCGGAGCGGCTGGGCCCGTGAGCCATGGCCGCTGAGCCTGCGCGTCTGGAGCCTGTGCTCCGCAACGGGAGAGGCCGCAACAGTGAGAGGCCCGCGTACCGCAAAAAAGGAAAAAAAAAAAAAAGATCCCAATGGTTTCACCTTTCTTCATTAACTCTGTTTTCTAATCCTGAAATTTTATTGGCTTGATGACCTTGGGCAAGTCACTTAACCTATCTGAAACTTCACCCCATGGGACCCATAGGAACCTGCTCAAGTGTTTTCTTTTTTTTCAGTTTTAATATTTTTTAATTGAAGTGTAGTTGATTTATAAAGTGTTAATTTCTGCTGTGTAGAAAAGTGATTCAGTTACACATATATATACCTTCTTTTTAAAATATTCTTTTCCATTATGGTTTACCATAGGATATTGAATGTAGTTCTCTGTGCTCTGCAGTGAGAATCTTGTTGTTTCAAGTGTTTTCTAAGCAAAGTCCTTTTGGGCATTTGCAGTCACTGGCTATGTGTCCAAGGATTCAGAATGCCTTCTCTTTCACAGTATCTGCTTCTGCTTTTTCTTCCCAGAGTCGAAAACATGCCAGTAAAGTCCGACTATACTACATGCTTCACCCCAGGGACGGTGGGTGTCCCGCAAAGAGGCTCCGATCAGAGAATGTGAGTATCTGATGCCACATGTTATCCTTGGATAATTTGTTCTGTTTGCTAAAAACTTTGCAGGTCTGGGAATTGCAGTTATGTCCAGCTTAGTGGGAAAGCTAAGTGAGTTGAAATCGTTCACATTAAATATTACAGAAAATATGACACGTAAGCAAGTCTTTTCCTTTTTTCCTGCCAGAACTTGCCAGTATGGGGTTGGGAGACTTTTTGATGGTACTGTGCTGGGACCTCACATAGAAAAGAACAGACAGAGGGGCTGAGACAGACAGAGGCTGGCTGAGGGGAGGCGGGCACCTTCAGAAGACATGACCTAAGGGCAAACCTGTCAGAAAGATCAGATGCTTTGCTTTCTACATAATGTATGTTTCCTTTGGTGTGTAAAGCAGAATGCCATTTGTTCATTTATAATGAAAGCTGTGCACATCTTGCAAACAAAAATATTCAGGGCTTTGATCAGCGTCACTTTTCCCTGAGGGAATGTTTACTTAGGGAGACAAATGACAATTAGAAAGCTGCTCTGAGGGTTTAATGTCAGAGCAAAGGGGTTCCCTTAGCCAGGCCAAGGCCAAGACTGATGAGAGAAATATCGCTTCCTCCCACCAGGGGACCCTTTTCCTAATGAGTGGAATATGCTTATCCACCCATGGCAGAGACCCTCCGTGATAAAAACTGCCGATGAAACACAGAAACTCCTCACCCTTTGAGGGCTGAGAGGCTGAGGATGTAACGTTCACACCCCACACTCTCGCTGGGCTTGTGGTCCTGTTTCCCTTCTGCTGCCATATCGATGCCAGTCTTATTAAAAATTAATACATGATCATCAAAGAGACTGGACAAAAACTGTACTTGTGTGTTGTCACAGAAGAAACAGAGAGAGAAAGGTGACTGCATGTGACCAAAGGGAGCAAGCAGCAGAGCTGGCAGGGTCCACAGATTCTGAGCCTGTGTCTAGCATCACGGAATGAGGTGCTTGCATATAGACTCATCTGGGTGCGGTGGATTTTTCTTTACTGCCCACTGAGGAAACAGAGACACGTAAGCCACAGACCTGTGGCTTTAAAGAGACTTAAATATAATGAGAGAGGTTAACATTGTATAAAAAATAGCTCTGATGCCACAGTGTAGGTGTTTGTTAACATTTGTACAAAGCCCCATGGAGACAAATGGCGGGTGAGTCATGCCAGGGCCATCCGACCAGGGAAGGTGTTACTGCAGGTTTGGCATGTGAGCTGGGGTCTTTGGGCTTGGATGGGTGGTACCAGATGGAGACATGAGAATGGGGGAGGGCAGGTGTTTTCTTGGGTGCATCCCTGGCCAAAGAACCTATTAAGACACAGGACAGTTGGCCTAAGTCAGCTTTTATGTGATCTCAGAATCCTGTAACCACGTTGGAGTCCCGCCCTCCATCAGCTGTCTATTAACAGAGAGAACAGAATGAGGTTTTTTATTTCCTCTTGAAATTATTCAGTGATGTATGCCTTTATTCAATAGCCATTTAGCGTCTAATCCTGAGAGTCAGAAACAATAGGATTCACGGACAGTTGACAGTTAGCTCTTTGAACACAGATTATTTTCTATCCACTCAAATTCTAATCATGAATGTTGCACTGATATCTGAGCTCCTAGCGAGTAATCCATCAGGTGTAGGGGAGGAAAACCTTTCCTTTCTAGGTTCCTTGGCTGGTCTCATAATTAAAATGACATAAAACACATGAACAGAAGAACAAATTTCCTTTCATACATGTGGGAGCCCCAAAGATAGGAGACTCAGGGAGGTGACCAAAACAGGCAATTTTTATGCTTTTTAGACAAAGAAGCAAAGCAATAAATTTGTGAGTAATTGACACGACAGAGGCTTTTGGGCTTGGGGTAGCAAATTAGTGAAGGAATAACAAGGTTGGTTTATACAGGCTTCTCCCCCCCCGAATTCCGTATCTTTGGTGATACGGATGTCTGTCTACCTCCGGGTACAGGGAAGGTGCCTTTTACATGGGAGATTTATTTCCTGCTTTCAGGAGGACAAAGGATGGTCAGAGTATCCTTCTTGGACCTTGCTGTTTCTTAAGTAGCTTCATTAAAAAAAATCAATATGCCAAAGTGGCTTATTTTGGGGAGGGGTTATTTCTGCTCCCCTTCACAAGCAAACAGAAAGGGGCGCTGTGACTCCAGCTGTGACCTTGAGGACACGATCTTTGCTGCTCTGGTCGGATCCATGTTTCACCCCACTCAGGCTCCGGTTCTGCCAGGCTCTTTGGGGTCAGTTGATAGAGGGGAAGAGGTTCAGATTTTACAGAAAGAAGTGTTTGCAAGGGTACTTTACCAAAGGCCCCTTTGAGAACTTTTTCCTGGATTTTGAAAACTTAGCTCTACCAGTGATTTGTTGATTGAATCATTTTCTATGACTTGTTACTCATTGTCTGGAAGCAAATAAGTAAGTAGGAAAAGCAACATAATGATCTTACTTTTTGAAAGAGATGGTTGTTGCCTTAATAGGCTGTATGGACATTTCACAGGAGGAAGAGATCATTTCCATTAGGCGTCTTGATGCGTTGGATGCTGTGTGGAAGGTACCCCCAGCCCCTCTCCAGGGCCCTGAGAGTTGATGTTGGTAACTATTTGGGCCAATGTTCTCTGGTACAGACTCACACCTAAGGGTTGAAAGACTAAATACACAAATCGACAATGGCCAGAACATATCTAAAAGTAGAACTGTGACCCACAACCTGCAGCAACCAGTCCAGAAAACCAACCCACTGATATCCAGTAACTGGCCCAGAAGCCTGCCTGCTGTGAGTCAGACTTGTAGGAAGTCAGACCACCTCTCTAGTGACAACCCAGGAAGTCAAAAAATAGCCCTGTAACAATAGGCCTCGAATGGCCAGGCCTGATGAATAGCTGACAGCTTCCCTAATTTCTGTCCCTGTTTCCAACTTAGGACCAACCAGAAAAAGCCAAATATGTACCCCTAACCAATCACATAGGCTGTCCCATTCTAGGTGGCCCACCTGCAGTTTCCCCAGGCCAACAGCCTCCAATCAGGGCATGGGTGAAACCTACCCCTTTTCCATTATGAAGCTCCTCTCCACTTCTCTGCTTGCCTTTGAGTCTCCTCCAAATGCAGGTGATGTTGGCTGGCTGTCTTGCTATAGCCTTTCTTGTTCCCATTTGGTTGTTGTCTATTTCCACAGGGTGGTAAAATGGGGATGAGGGTAAGAATCTCTAAAGTACAGGTTCGTCCTAAGACTCAACTGAACTAACCCGTTTATATAGCACTTTGTTTGCAAAGTGCTTTCTGAAGGCATTATTATTATTTTTTATTTATTTATTTGGCTGTGTCGGGTCTTAGTTGTGCTTGCAGTGCACGGGCTTCTCTCTAGTTGTGCACGTGAGCTCTCTAGTTGCAGCGCGTGGGCTTAGTTGCCCTGCAGCATGAGGGATCCTAGTTACCCGACCAGGGGTCGAACCCACGTCCCCTGCATTGGAAGGCGGACTCTTAACCACTGGACCACCAGGGAAGTCCCTCTGCAGGCATTGTTATTACTGATCCTCTCTCCACCAGCACCTGTGATCTTGGGAGGATGTAATACTTTGGTCCACTTGCCTCTCCAGTCTTGCCCATTCTCCACCTCCCCTGCTCCCAGGGTCTGTGGTTTGCATCCTAGTGTTACTTGATTGAGAACACTTTTATGCCTGCCCTGAATATCCAACAAAAGGAGTGTTTCTGAAAATAGAAAACTTGTTGTTGATTTTCCAAACCCTGACCACACATGAACCTTGGGCCTACAGTGATCCCTAAAACTGATGGGTAATGGCAGCCTGGGAATACACAGTAACTCTGAATTTACCTACAGATGAACAGAAGCGCCTGTTATTTTTCCCAGGGCCATTGCCATTTCTATTCCAGGTCATTTGACCTTTTGTTGTCGTTGCTTTTTAAACACTTATTTTCATTTCTGTCTTCTGGCCTTTCCAGCATTTTAAATTCCCTGCTTTACTCTGTAGAATCCTCATTTGGGGATTCTGTGTTTTTTCCCTGAAATTTTAGAGCAGGACATTGTCCCCTTGAGGCCACAGAGTAAAATTAAATGCGAAATAAATTGTTAGAGTTGATTGCCTTAGAGAAATGTTCAGGAATCCCACGGGCATGAGAGCCAAAAAGGACTTTAAAGATTATCTAGTCCACCGAGAGCCTCGGTATTCTACCAATGGCCCTTTTTATTATCTTCTCACTCATGGGTCACATGCTTTGAAAAAAAAAATGTCTGCTTGGGAAATAGCACTTTTTTTTTTTCCTTCGGTGCGCGGGCCTCTCACTGTTGTGGCCCCTCCCGTTGCGGAGCACAGGCTCCGGACGCGCAGGCTCAGCGGCCATGGCTCACGGGCCCAGCCGCTCCGTGGCATGTGGGATCCTCCCGGACCGGGGCACGAACCCGTGTCCCCTGCATCGGCAGGCGGACTCTCAACCACTGCGCCACCAGGGAAGCCCCGGGAAATAGCACTTTTAAGTTAAAAAGGTGATTTAATTTTACTTTTATTTTCATTCTGTAAAGGTAAGTAACTGCCAACCCAAATTGCCAGTTGGTATTAAATAAACAGTGTGTTTACATGGAATTAATGCAATTTCTTCTAAGTGGGGAAACTTGACATTTGGTTAGTGTGATTGAACTTATCACTCCTAAATATTTATATGGTTTCCCTTAGGTCTGAAATATTCAGCGCAGCTTGAGAACCTCCATTATCACGTTCACAGGCCCCTAAATATCCTGGGTTTCAGGTTGGGAGGACTTGATATAACCTCCCTCCCACCCCGTAATTACAAAGGTGACAATAAGACCCAAATAAGTACCATGACTTGTCCAAATTTGTCAGGCCTGAGAATAAGACCCTCCCGGCTTCCCTAAATCTTATTCCTGGGCTTCTTCCACGTATCTTGAAATTGTATCTTATTTGGAGTCATGGAAGCCATTGCTGGGTCCATAGCCAGAGAATATTGCTGT